GTGGGCCGGAATCTCGAACGAGCCGCTTCGGTGCCGCAGCCCGCCGTTCTCTATGAGGACCGGCTTGGCGTGGTGATGAAACTGATTCGGGCTATCGAGAACGGACTCCTCTCGGACGTCTCCGCTTGCCTGGAGAGGTACCCGAAGGTTGCCGAGTATGTCGCCAACCCGTACGACATCGCGGGCAACCTCTCTGAGAAACTCAGGAGGCTACGAGACCACGCTGTTGAACTCGCCAGGGGCCACGCCTTGGACGAGCTGCGCAAGTCCCACGAGGATTTGGCCGGCGGCAACACGTTCGCAGCGCAGCGTGCGCGACAACGGAACAATCGACTCATTTTCCGTCTGGCCCCGGGCCGTTCGAGCTCTTTCGGCGCCATCCAGGACGACAGGGGCAAGATCTGGACCGATCTGGAGGGCATGGCCGACGCGCTCCGGCAGCACTGGCCCCAGGTCTTCACGGCCGGCGGCGTCGATGAGGAATTGCTGCAGCAATGGGTGGCCGAGGACGCCGCTCACCGTCGCCAGGGCAGCCGCGCCGACCTCCGGCGGAATTTCCCAGAGCTCCGGAAAGGCCACATCAAGCGGGCGATCGACAACACGAGCAACACCTCACCAGGCCCCGACGGCATTCCATTCATAGCTTGGCGGAAATGCAGAAACTTAGCGGTGGATGTCTTGTTCGAGGCCTTCAAAGTGATGTGCTCCGACGATGCCCTAGACCAGTTGGACGAGCACTGGGAGGACTTCAACAGCAGCCTTATGTTCTTCTTGCCCAAAAAGTTCTCTGGCTCCACGGAGACGGGCGGCGGCATCTGCGAGTTGGACAATGTTAGACCTCTCAGCGTCACGAACGCGGACAACCGCATCCTCGCCAATGCAGTCAGGTCATTGCTCGAGCCCCTTGTTGGACCAGAGGTCACAGAAGAGCAGCGTGGCTTTATCGGAGGTCGGTCCATGGCGGCTAACATCGTCGACATCGAAGAGAGCATGTTGCAGCAGGCCATCAGCTCGGAAAGCGGCGGCGCATTTTTTTTCGACTTTGCGGCGGCGTTCCCATCGGTCGAGCAGGAGATGATGCACGTGATGTTCAGGGCCTTGGGGTGGCCGCGCTGGTTACTGACTTTTCTTCGGTGCCTCTATCACAGCAACAGATGCCTCATGGTGGTTGGCGGGCTGCGATTCTTGGGGTTCCAGACGACACGGGGCATCCGCCAAGGGTGCCCCCTCTCCCCGCTCCTTTTCGCGGTCGCTTCCGATCTCCTGCTGCGGCGCCTGGCACGCTTTGTCCCGGAGGCTACTCGCAGGGCTTATGCCGATGACCTCGCTTTAGTTCATTCTGACATCATGAGCCAGCTGGGGCGCTTGCAGGTCATCTTCTCGGAGTATGAGCGTCTGTCCGGTCTTCGGCTCAATGTTAAGAAGACGGTATTCGTCCCGCTGTTCCACTTCGACGCCCTGCCCCTGCGGTCGCGGCTGCACGCCGCTGCGCCGCTGTGGGGCCAGCTTTGCATAGCGGAGCAAGCCAAATACCTGGGGGTTTTTCTGGGCTTCGACAGCAGTGCGGCCACGTGGGCCACGCCACTGGCAAAGTACGGCGGCCGCGCCAAGCAGTGGGCTGCAATGGGCTTGGGGCTGCTGAATACCGTGGACGCATACAAGACGTACGTCGCCTCTGTGCTGATGTTTGTGGCGCAACTGACGCCGGTGCCCGATGCGTTCGACGACGCCGAGTGGGGAGCGGTCAAGAAGCTTTTCCCAGGCCCGACTGGTTGGATCACCCCCGCAGCGATTAAGGATTTCAAGGACGTCTTCCCCATCGAGTTGATGGATGTCAGACGCGCTGCCTGTGCCGCGCAGGCGCGCGTGGCCATGTTGGAGAACTCGAAGCACGGAGGCCTCCGGGTCGATGCGCGGGTCAGGGCGCTGCGGCCCTTGCAAGGGGTCACTGGCAACGCTGTCCACGCGAGCCGCGTCGGAGTGTGGCTCGACAACTGCATTCTGGTCACTTTGGCAACATCAAAGTACACGGTGCTATCCATCGACCGTTCGTTGCCTGGCGGAGGCCCCCTGGCGGCCCCCCCCGTCGGCGGTGACCCCCTCGAGTTTCGCAAAGGGTGGCAAGCTAGAGCGTATGGCGCCCTGGGGCGCCGCCGCCACGGAGATTTCTGCAGGCATGCTCGCCGACGCCTGGAACGGTGGTCGATCGAGGTGCCGCCTGGCCGACGGGTCGAGCGCTTCATCAACGGCGCCGCTGCCATGGCGAGCTCGCTTCCGCCGCGGGTGTTGGCTGCGGGGATCCGCGCGGCCTTCAATGCGCGGCCGACCTGCCGTCGTTTTCAGGCCGTGGGCAAGTGCGTGCTCAATTGCGGAGCCGGCCAGGATTCCATCGAACATTATGCCCATTGTCGGGTCTATCATGATCTCGGTGCGCGTCTGCTCCGTCTTCCCCGCCCGGCGCCGGCAGAGGCGCTCTCTACGTTTCTCGGGTTATGTGGTGAAGCTCCGCAGCCAGCTTCCTTGAGGGCTATGGCGCGATATGCACTGTACCGCACGCTCAACGGATCCCGATACGGATGCTTTCGCCCGGCGGAAGCGGAAGATGCTTTCCGTGGCTTCTTGCGGGAGGCTTCCGCGGGCCACGCGCCTGCGACGCGCCTTATTGCTTCGCTGTGGGCTTCCACATCTACTTCTTCTTGATCCGGTGGTTCTACTTCTTTTTCGCGGTCATCTTGTCCCACGCCTCCTGCGTCCTGTCTGTGAGCTGGTGGCCACGCTCCCAGTGCCGTCCTTTTTTCATGCATGACCCTGTGTTGGAGCGGTGGAGTTCGTGTTCTCACATGGCCCTGCTGGCCCCGAGGGCAACCATAAGGGTTGCGTCTGTCTGTTTTCTTCTTCTTCTTCTCGCTCCCCGGCTTCCTCCTCTGCCCGCCGGCCCCCGGCCACCTAGCTGCGGCGCACTTTTTCGGGAACGCCCAGGGTGACACATTTCCGTCTCCCTCTGTGCCGGTTCGCGGGCTGTGGCCCAGCTGGCGTGGCTTAGGCTAGCCGTGGAGGTGGCGGTGCCTCTTGTCAGAGCGTTGATGTAATTATCGCTGGTGCGCCAGAGGATGCATGGTCAGCGAAGGCCTGTCGGTCCCAGGCCAGTTGGCGAGGGCGACCGCTGGCCGCCCCTCCCCTCGTCCTCGTCCTCCCTCCTCCGGATCTGGGCGTGTAAGTTCGTGCTGGTGTGCCGGAGAATGCAAGGTCAGACGAGGCCTGACGGTCCCAGGCCAGTTGGCGAGGTCGACCGCTGGCCGCCCCTCTCCTCGTCCTCGTCCTCCCTCCTCCGAATCTGGGCGGGTAAGTTTGTGCTGCTGTGCCGGGGAATGCACGGTCAGACGAGGCCTGACGGTCGAGGCCTTTGCTGGGTTTTTGCGTTTAGGGGGCCCCGTGCACGGCAGGAGCGAACTGGCTACATTTTGTCTTCCAGTCGAGTGCCGGCTGATGTCTCTGCCGCGTGGCCGATAAGCGTCGTTATTTGGGCCGGCGCGGAGCGGAAAAAGGGGCTCAAAGTTGTACCGCACCTCCTGGTGCCTCCTCCTTCTCTCGCTTCTTTCCTCCCTCCTCTTCTCCTTCGCCTCCCCTCCCCCTCTCGGCCGCTGCACACTTCGACGCGATGTGGTGCAAGCTATCGTGTCCCCTCTGTCCCGGCCGCGTGGCCGATGGACGCTGACACACGGTGCCCCGAGCAGCCGATTCGAGCTGCCCTTCCCCCTCGTCTCCTTCCTCCCGCTCTCGCCTCCCGGGGGCGGAGCGCCGGCTAACCCTGCTGGGGTGGGCCGGCTCTCCACCTCCTCTCCCGGTCTCTTCCTCGCTCACCCCCGAATTGGCGTTCGCGCCGATTGCACGCGGAGGGGGCTGGTGCTGGGCCGCCCGGTCTCGCCGGCCGCTCCCTAGTCAGGGAGTCGCCCCTAGCCCGTACTGTCCAGCCTTCCGGCCGCCTTCGCCTACCACGTGGCCATTTTCATTTGCGGTTGGGCCGCTTTCGGAAGCTTGGGGAGTGCTTGGGATTAGTGGCACTTCACCCGCACGCTGTGTTGCACATTGCTGTCCCTCTTCCTCCTCCTCCCCCCCTCTGCCCCTGCGCCTTTTCTCCTCCTCCTCTCCTCGAATTTGTCCCGTTTTTAAGTTGTCGTGGTCATTCACGGAGCTCGGACTCAGATAGTTGTACAACTATGCAGTTTTGCCAGTGCCCCGATTCCCTGTTGCGCGCAAAGGCTCACCTATCGCAGGTTGGCTTGAGCGTTGCTCCAGGTGTCTTGGATTGCTCCTCTGCCTCTCCCCCCTCGCTCCTCCCTCTCCTCCTCCTCGTCCTCCTCCTCCTCCTCCTCCTGCTCCCTGAATGTGGTGACGTTTACCCGGCCAGCCACCTTCGATATCTACAGCTATGGAGTTTCAACGCCATTCGCTGCGGCTTTCGATGGGTGCGGTGATAGCCCCCTTGAGGGGAAGCGGACCTTACCCTCATCACGTCTTGTTGTGCCGTTTGCGACTGAGGGTGGCGTGGCCCCCGGACTCCTCGGCACGATATGCGAGATGGACAGCAAGCTGGCGCGTGCGTTGTCTCCCTCAAAAAAAAAATGTTTCCATTCTCGAGCACGGTGAGCCGATCTCGCCACCAGTCGAAGACAGTCACATGTCCGAGACCTTGCCATCCCAATGACATGTTGATCGGCGCACTCGACCCAGCCGGCTCCCATCGGCGTCCTGGCTCGCAATATCCTTCTCGTCGTCCTCTTCCTCCTCCTTGAGCGCCTCCACTTCGTCCTCCTCCTGCTCCTTCTCACGGGAGGGCCCCAGGCAGGCCGCCCTTTGTTTGAGGCAGGAGCCCGATTCCATGGTTTCGCAGAGGCATTCTCACATCTGGCACGGCCTGCTTGCTCACCGTCGATCAGGACTCGCTTCCAGCGCGCTTACCTTTAACACCTCACGGGAGGAGGTGGAGGAGGAGCCCGCAGGCATTGGCCCACTCGGAGGCGCGAGAGAGCGACCACGCCCGCGGCTGCTCACGCCTGTTCGTGGACTTGGCGAGGGCGGAGCAGGCGTCCCCCCTCCCTCCGTGAACATGAGCGTTGGCAGGTCCGCGCAGATTTCTTGGGTCGTCGCGTCTCTGGGGGCCCTCCCGGCGCCGCCCCCGGCGCGCGACAGGGAGGGGGGCCCAGCGCCGATCTAAGATGTCCACGCGGGCCTCGAAAGTTTGTGTGATTTTATGCATGTTTTTCGTGTTCCATCGATCCCCATCCCTCCTCCAAGGGTTCGGCCCTGCCCGCAACTTTCAGGATGTGGCCTACTGCTGGAGAAGCCACCGGTCACCGGTCACTGCATTCGCGCCACACGGGCTCGGCGGTGGAGAAGTCGTCACAGCTTCCAGTATCTTTCTGACGGCCACCTCATCCTTAAAGATGGGCTCGGGTACCCTTCAAGCCTACAGCGTACTTGGCAGACCTCTCGCCCCCCCTCCTCGTCCTCCTCCTCCTGCGTCCTTGCTCATTGTGCATGGTGACCCGAGTTGGTATGGAGCAGTGTCGTCAGTAATACGATACGCCAAAGATGTTGTTGCGCTGCAGGTAGGAGCTTCCAGGCACGCACTGTCTTTCGAGATGTCGAGAGGATCCTGGAGCTCGGCTTTCGCCATCCAGTAGGTGGAAAGTCTCTGGGCCCTTGTCGGCACCCCGCCTGAGCCTCCAGAGGATCCACAACGGCATGTCTAGTTGCTTTCGGCAGTCAGAATCTCCAGACTAACGGGGGACTGCTCCGCCCCCCTCTCTGCATGCACTGCCACCTGCAATGTGCTGGACATGTTTCCCACACAGGTATCTCCACCGCCCGAGCTCCCCGCCCGAGCCTTAGAATGTTCAGCCAGGCGTTGATTTGCAATACGTTCTTCTGTTCTTTTGATGGCCTCACGCGGAGTGATCCGCGCGCCGTCTAGTTGCTCGGTGTTGGTCAACGACTTCGGTGAGGGGATCCTACTCACTTCGTCTTCGCCAGAGCTAGTCTAACTGTTGTTCCACCAGGGGACCCTGAGGCAGTTGGAGAGAGACGCCAGCAAGGTTCATGATGTAGAAGAGTGCAGAGCGTGCTACGACACTGTTGACTCCCAGCTTTGCTCTTCCAAATACGCAGTCCTATTTCGAGAAGGGCTGCACAAAGTGCTTATTATTGTGCGGAGCTGTGTGGACGCTAGACAGCTGTTGCATTGGGATGCGAAGTGCCATCGCCTCAGCGTCCGCTCTGTAAGTGCTGCTTAGATTCGATCTGGCATCGGCTGTGGGTGTGCACTGCCGTCGCCGACCTCAGGGCTGAGCTGGTGGGTGCCGACATTCTGGAGAAGAGTGTAGGGAGCTTGTGTCTGTGTGTGGCCCTGTGTAGGCCCCAATATCCGAAACCCCTCAAGCGGGGGAGTTTGGGACATTGGCGATGATTGTACAGAGCCTCTCAGGCCCCGCTTGCGGCCACAGCGACTGTAGCAATGCAGTCAATTCTTTTGCGCTGCCTAGGAAGGCCACGCTTCCGCACAAAAGAGTCCACTCGGGGACCACGACGTTAGCACAGGTGCCTCTCCACACCTCTATGCGCAAGGTCGCACGTTGTTGACTCGCCTGACGTGACCCAGCAGCAGCGCTGGGACAAGGCTGGCAACGATGCGGCATATTTCCTGCGCGAACTGGCCACTCTTCGCAGCTTGCGATCTCGCCGCAGGAGGTGCGTTCCATCGAGCACAGGGTAGACGTTGCAGAGGCTGTCTGTAAACTTGCTGCTCGGCGCTTGCCCCTTTGGACCGCCACGGACCTCCAAGGCTGTCCTCTGGCCCGTCGGGAGCCGGAGCCCGAGCCCAGACCCGAAGTTTCGGAAGCTGTTGTCCACGACTGGGAGTGGTGCACCAGTTATTGGAGAGGCAAGGACTGTTTGAGGCTTCGCAGACCGCGTGAATTGGTTGATTTTCGGTGTATCCGACCGACCCTCAAACGAGGGTTGCTCTTGTCATCCTCCCCCCGAGCTGGAGAATGCCTGCGCCCTCGGGCACCCTTTGCTTTCCGTACAGCATACAGACGGGAGTCCCTTATTGGTGTGCGTCCGCTACAAGGCCGCAAGGCCTGCTCCACTCCTGGTTAGCTCTTCTCAAGGAAGAGTGCAGCCATCCCACGAGAAATAACCTTGAGAGATAGAGGCACAGCTCTCAAGGGCAAGCACCCACGTCGGAAGGACTTGTTGGTGGAAGCAGCACCTGTCGAGTGAGCACGCATCGGCAGGAGAGGTCAAGGTGAACAAAAGCCTCCTCCTCCTCCTCCTCCTCCTCCTCCTCCTCCTCCGCCTTTCCCATCCTCACCTCATCCGCCTTCTTGGGTGGGGGCAGGACAAGGAGGTCCATGGAAAACAAGATAAAGCAGCAGAGTATCGTGGCTGCTCCTCATCCTCTTCATCCGTCTGTTTCTTCTTCTCGTCATATGTACCTTGCTGCTTCTATCCATTCCCCCCTGATGATCATGCTGGCGCTCTTAGTACGGCTCGCCAGCCGCGTGTAGTGGTTGTTTGACACTCCAGTCTTTCGTAACCACATGCTGCAAGTAAGTTTTCCCAATGAGTCCCAGCTGCTCCTCGCGGAATGAACTGGACGGGCAGGGGTAGGAATGGGAGAAGGAACAGAAATATCAGCATCAGCAGCAAGATAGTGAAGAGTGGAAAAGGAGGAGGAGAAGCATCAGGGGCAGCAGCAAAAGGATGGGTGGATAGAGCGCGAGGAGAAGCATATTGATGAGCATAGACAGCAGAAGCAGGAGAAGGGTGAGGAGGAGGAGGAGGAGGAGAAGAAGCAGTTGCAGGGTGAGGATGAGCATCATGATGAGGAGTGGCAGCATGATAAGGCGGAGGGGGTGTCTCCAAGGGGGCTTGCGGATCAGCACAGGAAGTATAGATATTATATATATATATGTATATAGGAGAGGGGGGGAAGGAAGACGGGCAGGAGGATAATGGTCATGAGGCCCAACCGACAGGAGGAGGAGGACCAAGAGCAGGAGGAGACGCAGCAGGTGAACGGGGGGATGAGCAGGTGGATGAAGAGAAGGATGAGTCCGCCTTCCGCCACTGGCACTGCTACCCCCGCCGCTACCCCGCGCAACCACCACCACGATGACCACCGCAACTCGACCACCACAGTAAACACCACCACTACCATCACTGTCGCGACCGCCACCGCCACCCCGCCGGCGCCACACCACCACAACCACCACCAGTACCGCAGGGAGCCCCGCGAGAACCACAGCCAACACTCAGAGGCTCCATATGGCTTTAGCATATTCAGAAAATACCAGGAAGCCAAAGTCCTGGGATAAATATGCCCAGGATGAGCAGGAGACGCAGCAGCAGGGAGAATGTAGTTGTCGTTGCTCCTCATAGTGCTCCGCATTCTTGTATTGCTACTCACCGTCATCGTTGTCTTACTGATGCGTTCCCGCATCCCCGTATGATCACACTGATGCTTTCCCCTTACGGAGCATCCGCCTATTGGTGCCGTTGATGATGGTCTTCGCGCGGTTCATCATCATCCTTTGCAAAGGAGGGGAAAATGCAGGAACAGGATGAGAAGGATGAGCGGATGAGCAACCGTAACAGCATCGGCAGCAGAAGAATGAGGAATCGAAAGGGAGGATGAGAAGATCAGCAGTTACATAAAAAACGAAGAGTGAAGAGAATGCGAGGAGAAGCATGAGGTGGAGGAGCAGCAGTTGTATCATGATGGGAGGAGGAGGAGAATCAGCTGCAGGATGAGAAGGATCGCGACGAGGAGGATGTGCAGCAGCATGAGAAGATGCAGTGAGAGTAGAAGGATGAGGAGGATCAATACCAGGAGAAGGATAATCAGGATATTCAGCTGGAGGAACGTGACTATTCTCAGCATCGGCAGGATACAGGAGAAGGAGGAAGAAGATGGGCAGGGGGATGATGACGGTGAGGGCCAACCGAAGCAGGAGAAGGAGGAGGATGAAGAGCAGGAGGAGGAGGAGGAGGAGCAGCAGCAGGTGAATAGGGGAGGATGGTCAAGAGGAGGAAGAGGACTGGCAGCAGTCAGCTTTCCGCCACCAGGACTGCCACCTCTGCTACTGCCCGCGCCACCACCGCCGCTATCACCACCGCCACGCGACCCACAAACACCACGTCCATCAGCGTCGCGCGCCACCACCAGGCTGCCGCCACCACCACCACCACCACCACTACCGCAGAGAACCCACCATAACCTCAACAAACATCTATTCGCATTGTATTGGGTTGCCCCACCTGGTATTGAATTCGACTTGCCTCTTCCCTGGCCCCCAGCAGGCAGCCCTGGCTGAAATCCGAACCAGCACTGTCACACACTGCTACATCTATTCTCAACCCTCTGCCCTACCCATCATTTACCACGCCCTCCGCCTCTCCCCCACCCTCCCTTCGAATTACCCCCCGGCCCATCGTCCTCAGAGTCCGCCAGGCCCTGGCCGCCTCCGAGGCGCGAGAAGAGGATTGCGCCCGCAGCTGCGCGCAGCTGCTCGCGGAGCTGGACCTGGCGCTGCAGGTACAGGACCGCCACAGAGGATCGGGAGGAGGACCTCTTGAGACCCGTGCATCCGGCGTCCTTGAAAAGATCGAGTCTGGGTTTTCTGGGCCCGGTTCGGGCCCTTGGACCCGCAGGACGCGGCCCACGGCGAAGTCCAAACCAATCTTGGGGGCGAAAACTCCGGAGCCCCACGGATAGGAGTAATGGGACGTCGGAGGAGGAGGAGGAGGATGTGTTGAAACGTTGGCTTCGTTGGACCGCCATTGGTGCGGCGACAACATGCGAACACACCCGCTGGAGCCGTAGCTAGGGCTCCCTGTGGGACTTTGGACGCCCGAAATGGGTACGGAAAAAATGGGTACAATGCCCAACAACAAATGTTGTCCCAAACCAACAGCGGCCGCTGTTGGGCAGGCGGCCTTCTGTCTCGAGTGAACACAGGCCGCGGCGGCGCGGACAGCGAGTCCTGTTCAAGATGAGCAGGAACTGCTGTTGGGCATCGTACCCACTCTTTCCGTGCCCATTTCGTTCGCGCCGAGGGACGCGAAACGTGTGAATGCTGCGCCAGAATATGCGCGCCGTACGCGTGCTGACTGCATTCGAACACAGACCGCTGGGACCCAACACGTGTGAGGGTCACGCCGAAATGGGCGCAGCGACCGCATGCGCGCACCCCCTTCCCTCCTCCCACTTCGCCCTCCTCGACCCCTCCCACCTCTCTCCCTCACCCTCCCTCACCCCCCCCTCATCCCTCCTTTTGTCCCCTCTCCCCGCAGCCCTAATATTCCTCCTCCTTTGTTCTTCGTGCCCCACCACCGGGCCTCCTGACGTGTCAATGCCATCTGTGGGGGGCATCCGAGGGCCCGACCTGCCCTCACCCCCCCTTCGACAAACGAGTCCAAAAAAGTTGTCGTCTATTGGCTGTTCCGCCTGAGTGGGGAGGAGGGGGGAAGGAAGGCAGGGAGGAGGAGCGAGGGAGGCGGAAACGACCCACAGGCCGCGGCCGAGCTCCAGGCCGACAGGCAGGACCCTTAGGTGAGCCATCATGACTCTATCAGGAGGCAGGAGGAGAGCCAGTTGAGACATCGACGATCGGGCCCTCGGTCAGCGGGTGCTCCCGGCCTCGGGAGGGGCCGGGCCGGGCCGGATCAGGACCGGGATCAGTCCGCGAATCAGCTCAGATCGGGACGGGAGGGGGAAGGTGCAGTGCATCTGCCTTCGACTTTAGGCTGAAATGGTCGCAGATGCTCTGTAGGTCGAGCTCGACGGGCCCGAGAGCCAAATGACTTACACATGACTGAGTAAAATATTGGGTAGGCTTTCGGCCGGTGCTGCCAACCCTGAGGGACGACGACGACGACGACGACGACGACGACGACGACGACGACGACGACGACGACGACGGCGGCGGCGGCGGCGGCGGCGGCGGCGGCGGCGGCGACGACGGCGGCGCTGACACTCTGAACCCCTTCTTGGGGCTCTCTTTAGAGCCTCTTGGGCTCTGTTGAGGGGCCTCTTGGGGGACTGCTTGGGGAGCGCTGTGGTCACTTCGAGCCGCCTCGGAGAGGATCTGAGGCCTCGTGAAGGCATGTGGGAAAATACGCAGCACTCCGCAACAGCAGATAGGAATGAGGAGGGTGCCTGTGGGGGGGGGGCCGGGGGGCTAGAGGAAAAGGGGGTGGTGGTGTTCCCCATGTCCACATTGTCCACAGGGGAAAGGCGGGGAGAGGGGTCCTAAGCTCCCCCCGGTTCCCCTTCTCCACAGGGGGAACCCCCCGGAACCCGCCCGGGACCCCCGTGGGACCACCCCCGGGACCACCCCCTTCCCGGCAGGCAAGGGATCGAAGGGAAGGGCTTCCCTTCGAATCAATAACGACATTGTTTGATTCCCGTTTGGCTGGATCGCCTGAGGAGGAGGGCCCAGGGAAAGGGAGGAGCGGCGACGGCGATGGCGGCGACGGCGGCGGCGACGGCGACGACGACGACGACGGCGACGACGACGACGACCCAAAAGTATAAACGCTTCGGCGATTCTCCTGTTACAACTGATTGTTGGGGCGCTTGCTTGGGAAATGCATGACCGCGTAAAGGTGGCATCCCCTGCTCCTTCCGTCTGCACAAACTGCTGCACGGCTCTAGTTCTTCAGCACCTTGGCCCGAGCGGCACCCGCATTAATCCAGCACCAGGTTGCCACGGATTCTTAGCTAATCGATTGTGTCGTGATTGAAGACGAGGACATCGCTCTTTGGGCGCAAATGAATTACCCTGGCGACGTACCCAACCCCTGCGAAATCCGGGGCACGAGTAGCATGGGACATGTTATACAAGGGTGATGAGGTGACATGGGCGAATATAGTTCTGCGAGCGGCATTCGTGACGATCGCAGCCCCCCAGGGATGGCGAGGTCCCGCTCAGATCTGCATGGTGCCTTACTCCGCTGGACTCACCAGCAGCACTCGAAAGTGGCGACAGTTCCGCAAATCGCAGCCCCCCAGGGACGGCGAGGTCCCGCTCAGATCTGCACCGTGCCTCACGCCGCTGGACCCACCAGCAGCCCGCGAAAGTGGCGACAGTTTCGCAGATCGCAGCCCCCCAGGGACGGCGAGGTTTCGCTGAGATCCGCGCGGTGCCTCACCCCGCTGGACTCACCAGCAGCCCTCGAAAGTGGCGACAGGGACGGCGAGGTCTCGCTCAGATCTGCGCGGTGCCTCACTTCGCCAGACCCACCAGCAGCCCTCGCAAGTGGCGACAGCTTCGCAGATCGCAGCCCCCCTAGGACGGCGAGGTCTCGCTCAGATCTGCGCGGTGCCTCAGTCCGCTGGACCCACCAGCAGCCTTCGCAAGTGGCGACAGTTTCGCAGATCGCAGCCCCCCAAAGGGACGGCGAGGTCTCTCAGATCTGCGCGGTGCCTCACTCCGCTGGACTCACCAGCAGCCCTCGAAAGTGGCGACAGTTTCGCAGATCGCAGCTCCCAGGGACGGCGAGGTCTCGCTCAGATCTGCGCGGTGCCTCACTCCGCTGGACCCACCAGCGGCCCTCGAAAGTAGCGACAGTTTCGCAGATCGCAGCCCCCCAGGGACGGCGAGGTCTCGCTCAAATCTGCGCGGTGCCTCACTCCGCTGGACCCACCAGCAGCCCTCGAAAGTGGCGACAGTTTCGCAGATCGCAGCCCCCCCCCCAGGGACGGCGAGGTCTCGCTCAAATCTTCGCGGTGCCTCACTCCGCTGGACTCACCAGCAGCTTTCGCAAGTGGCGACCGTTTCGCAGATCGCAGCCCCCCGGGGACGGCGAGGTCTCGCTCAGGTCTGCGCGGTGCCCCACTCCGCTGGACACACCAGCAGCCCGCGAAAGTGGCGACAGTTTCGCAGATCGCAGCCCCCCCCCCAGGGACGGCGGGGTATCGCTCAAATCTGCGCGGTGCGTCACTCCGCTGCACCCACCAGCAGCCTTCGAAAGTGGCGACAAGTTTGCAGATCGCAGCCCCCCAGGGACGGCGAGGTCTCGCTCAGATCTGCTGGACCCACCCGCAGCCTTCGAAATGGCAGCAAGTTTGCAGATCGCAGCCCCCCAGGGACGGCGAGGTCTCGCTCAAATCTGCGCGGTGCCTCACTCCGCTGGGCCCACCAGCAGCCCGCGAAAGTGGCGACAGCTTCGCAGATCGCAGCCCCCCAAAGGGACGGCGAGGTCTCTCTCAGATCTGCGCGGTGCCTCATTCCGCTGGACCCACCAGCAGCCCTCGAAAGTGGCGACCGTTTCGCAGATCGCAGCCCCCCGGGGACGGCGAGGTCTCGCTCAGATCTGCGCGGTGCCCCACTCCGCTGGACACATCAGCAGCCCGCGAAAGTGGCGACAGTTTCGCAGATCGCAGCCCCCCCCCCCCCCCAGGGACGGCGGGGTCTCGCTCAAATCTGCGCGGTGCGCCACTCCGCTGCGCCCACCAGCAGCCTTCGAAAGTGGCGACAATTTTGCAGATCGCAGCTCCCCAGGGACGGCGAGGTCTCGCTCAGATCTGCAGGACCCACCAGCAGCCCTCGAAATGGCAGCAGGTTCGCAGATCGCAGCCCCCCAGGGACGGCGAGGTCTCGCTCAGATCTGCATGGTGCCTCACTCCGCTGGGCCCACCAGCAGCCCTCGAAAGTGGCGACAGTTTCGCAGATCGCAGCCCCCCAGGGACGGCGAGGTTTCGCTCAGATCTGCGCGGTGCCTCACCTCGCTGGACCAACCAGCAGCCTTCGAAACAGCGACAGCTTCGCAGATCGCAGCCCCTCCCACGCGGACGGCAAGGTTTCGCTCAGATCTGCGCGGTGCATCAGTACGCTGGACTCAACAGCAGCTTTTGAAAGCGGCGACAGTTTCGCAGATCGCAGCCCCCCAGGGACGGCGAGGTCTCGCTCAGATCTGCGCGGTGCTTCACTCCGCTGGACCCGCTGGACCCACCAGCAGCCCTCGAAAGTGGCAACGGTTTCGCAGATCGCAGCCCCCCCCCCCCAGGGACGGCGAGGTTTCGCGGGAGACAGGAGGCGGGGGACAGGAGGCTGGAGGCGGGAGGAGGACGCGACCGCAGTGTTCGATTCGAAACGAATACCCAACCAAAGAAGGTTGGGAATGAAATAGCTGCACCCGACGTCGAGAAAATTCAACGATGCCGTGACAAAAGCGCGACCAGTTCCTTCGATCCCATCCTTGCGCGGGATCTGCCCAGCTGGGCCAATCCGCGAGGGTCCCAGCGCCTGAGACGGGGCGGAAAAGCACGTCGTATGTTGATGGGAAAATCTTATATGTTCGCTGAGGGAGCGGGCAAGTCCAGCCTCGGCAGGGGGGTGAATCACAATTCCTGCGTTCTATTGAAGTTTACGGTTGCAATCTAGGGGGTCGTACATGTATATGTGTGCGCATGTACAAAGATGTGTATATAACATAGTTGTGTGTCTAGAGATAGACGGCACCCACTGGAAAAGACAAGTGGCACATCCACCCAGTGATTTAAGAAGACACGTAGGCATCCCCAAATTCAAGCACTGCTCGGGTGCAAAATTACTCCGACGGTAGGACCCCACAGGAGAATCAATTTAGCTTGCCCCTCGCATTTGTCTTGTTCATTTGGCGGAGGCTGTTTTCCGCCCTCTGCGTCCTCCTCCTCCTCCTCTTTCTCCTTCTCTTCCGCCTCCTCCACTTCCACTTCCTCCCTCTTCTTCCTCCTCCTCCTCCTCCTCCTCCTCCTCCTCGGCCTTTGCCCCGCCCTCCACCACCTCCTCCTCCTGCTCCTCCTCCTCCTCCTCCTCCTCCTTCTCCCCCTCCTGATCGCCGCCCCGTTCGTTTTCCTCCTGCATCTCTCCGTCCCCCTGGCAGGTGAATTGCGCGCGCGTAGATTATCCTCGGCGCCCTCGCCGCCGCGCCTGACAGGGGCGCGTTCTCCAACGGCGAAATCGCGAAGCCGCCGGGGGCAGCCCCGCGTGCCAGGCCATCGGGGCAACCCCGCGAGCCGCTGGCGCGCAAGACTAAGCCGTTAGGACAACCCCGCCGGCTTCGAGCGGGGCGCCGCCGCGCGCTCTGCCGCGAGGTGTTCCGCTTCTGCCCTGGAGCTCTCCGTTCTGACGTCGAAGTCCAGGAGCGCCTTCCGCAAGGATGCCGGCGGCCCTCGCTCCAGGAACTCTCGCGGCGGCGGCCGCATGATCAGCATGTTCCGCATGCACGTGGCGCGGGAGAACATGACGTAGAGGTGCAGCCACCACTGGTCGTCCGACATGCCCGTGCGACCAGAGTCCTCGTCCCTCGCGCAGTCGATGGTGACGCCCTTGCGCAGCGTCTGGCCCTGCGACAGCGTGGAGGCGAGGTAGGACGCGTGCGTCATGGTAAACCCCGAGCGGCGCACGGCGTGCGGCCCCGAGCTCTGCCACGCGAACTCTTGCTCTCTGGGCGTGAACATCAGCAAGCTCCGCGCCTCGGCCTCGCCGTCGTCCTCCGCGCCTTCGGCTCTCTGTCGCAGCAACTCGGCGACCTCCTGGTAAATCGGAGACTCCTTGAAGCCGTGCACCTGCAGCCAGACTCCCTGGCCAGAGGCTCTCCGCCGACGCTGGCTGGATCATACGGGATTCGCACGTGGCCAAAATCTCGCGCACCTGACGAGGCCAAAGGCAAGGCCAATGTAATGACATGTTTTCTATATATGTATATATATATATATATATATATATATATATATATATGGGGGCCTGTTCGGATTAGTAGCATGATCTGCGGGTCCCATAGGGATGAGGCGTTTGCCTGAGACTTCCTCGCAGTTCACTCACAGACGAGGCTCCCGCCTCATACTTCCTCCATTTTCAAGCCTGAGGAAGCCAAAAGTGAGGACAGTTGCAGGATTCCGATGACCCGCGTCGGGGCAAAAACATGAGCTGCTGGCCCCATAGGGCGGGGGGTCCCGCCTGAGACTTCCTTCGCCAGTCACTCACAGACGAGGCTCTCGCCTGATACTTCCCCCATCAGGCCTCAGGAGCCCAAAATTGACGACGGTTGCAGGATTCCGGTGGCCCGCCTCGGATTAAAAAACATGAGTTGCGGGCCCCATAAGGTGGGGTTTCCCGCTTGAGATTTCGTCCATATTCAGACCTCAGGGGCCCAAAAATGACGACAGTTGCAGGATTCCGATGACCCGCCTCGGATTAAAACATGAGCTGCGGGCCCCATAGGGAGGGGGCTCCCGCCTGAGACTTTTTCGCAATTCACTCACAGACGAGGCTCCTGTCTGATATTTCCTACAGACTCAGACCGCAGAGGGCCCAAAAGTGACGACTGCTGCAAGATTCCGATGACCAGCCGATGAGTCCGTGACGACCCCGATTGAAGATCATGATGTTGATGCGGATGCTGATGATGATGATGATGATGATCATCATGATGATGATGATGATGATGATGATGATGATGATGATGATGATGATGATGATGACGATGATGGTGATGGTGATGGTGACGGCGATGAATGTGTGAGTGAGTGGGCGGATACGTGGGTGAGTGAATGGGTGAGTGCGTGAGTGCGTGATGATGATGAGTGTGTGGGTGAGTGCGTGAGTGGGTGATTGGATGGGTAACTGGGTAAGTGGGTGACTGGATGAGTGTGTGAGTGAGTGTGCGAGTGGGTGAGTGAGTTTGTCAGTCAGTGAATGTACATGATGATGTGTGTGTGAGTAATTGAGTGAGTGAGTGTGCGATGGGAGAAGAGGAGAGGGTGTGTTCTCTTTCTTGTTCCTGCTCGGCATTACATGTCTTAGCGTCCTCTTCGTGGGAGGTCTTGGGCCAGGCCGTGGGGTCGGCCCGGATCTGGCGCGCCAGCGCGCTTCCGAGGCAGGACGCAGCCAGCGGCGACTCGCGGCTGCTCAAGGGATGGGGGCCGCCACCGGCTGAGGAGGCGCGCGGCCCGACGAGGGTGAGGGGGGGAGGGGCGGTCGATCCCGGCAGGAGGGCGAGCAAAGAGGGGTACGGCAGCCACATTTCTTCCTCTGCGGGGCGAGCGCGAGTCGCCTAGCCGTTGACTAACGAGACTGCTCGGGTAAAAGAGGACAGGGGGCGCCAACTACCACTTGTACTGGTCTTGGGTCAGGGAGCGGCCAGGCCAGAAGTGGATTTCCTCTGGGGACGGTTTTGCGCAGAGGGGCTTCGGAGGTCAGGGGTGTCAGGAGTTCTAAGAGGCGTTGGGTGTGTTCGTGGAGTTGTATGGGCCAGGGAGGAGATGTGGGAAAGGAGACGAGGGAGAGCAGATCTGCCAGAACACGAGCTTGCTCAGGGAAGGCTCTTCGCCAAGGCTGCACGCGGTTCCGAAAGCCAGTGGTCAGGACGAGTTCGGCAGGGGTGTGGGGTGCAATTGTCGACTGATCAAGACCAGAAGTGGAAAATGTTGACTTCTTCGTCCTACACTTCCTTGGCGCATGTAAGTGGGAGTCCGTATGTAGCCCCTGGCTCGAGAGCAGCGCGCGCTTGCCCCGCGCGCGGCGGCGCTGGGGCCGCCGTTGGCGGCATCGCGGTGACGACGCCGGCAGCTGGTCCGTTTTCCTTGCACGCGGCGGTGGCGCGGGCAGCCTCGCGTACGGCGCTGCTGGCATCGACAGCGCTGCCCGCCGTGCCTGGGTCCTCGCGGGCCCGATGGAGAGGCGCAGACCTGGCGGGGGCCCTCCGTTGGCAGTCAAGGGGGGCGGCCAGCAGGTGCCGCCTGCCTCTGGCGAGCGGGCTGCTGCGGCAGGCGACCACCTGCATCATCCACCGCGGGGCCCGCCCCCTGCCGGCTCGCAGCGGCCGCCGGCAGCTCCAGTGGCTGCAGCATTTGCAGCGCCGGCGACCCGGGCGGCCCCATCGGCGGAACTCCAGTTGCATCCAGGCGCTGCCTTGCATCCCGAGATGGCTCTGCCGCCCAAGGGCCCGCCGCAGCATGCGCAGCAGCATCTGGAGCAGCAGCAGCAGAGGGGGCTCCTCGTGCCCAAGGCAAGGGGCGTCAGCCAGCACGATCGGCGCTTTGCGCCCGCTTGGGCCACCAGCCGCAGCAGGAGCCGCAGCCGTAGTCCTCCTCAGGCCCAGGCCAGCTACGCCATAGAGGGCCCGTGCATTTTAGGCAAAGGCTCTTTCGGCGTGGTGTTCAAGGCCACAGTCGTCGGATCTGGCCGCCCGGTGGCGATCAAGGCGGTGAGGTTCCGCGAGGGTGAGCGCGAGGCGCAGGCGCTGCGGAGACTACGGGGCAGCCCCAACATCGTCACGCTCCACGGTACATTTCCCGGGAACGAAGCCGCGGAGCAGGACCGTACCCTGAACCTCGTGATGGAGTTCATCTCTGACACGCTCATGCGGATAATCAAGCACTACAGAGCCTCAGCCGTCTGGATGGACATACAGTACGTGCGCCTATTCATCTACCAGTTATTGCGCGGGCTCGCGAGTTTGGAGCGTGCTGGTGTGGTGCACCGCGACATAAAGCCAGCCAACTTGCTGGTACACCCGGATACACTAACCTTGAAGATCTGTGATTTCGGAACCGCCAGGTTGGCTGGGACAAACGAGGTTTCGACGCCTTACCTTTGTTCGCGCTACTACCGTGCGCCTGAGCTCATCTTGAGCTCCATGGAGTACGCGGGCGCGGTGGATCTCTGGTCGGCGGGATGCGTTCTGGCCGAGATGTTGCTGGGGCAGCCGCTCTTCGCAGGGCGTGACGGGGTGGACCAGTTGCACAAAATCATGGAGGTGTTGGGCTCACCCACGCCGCAGGAGCTTTACGCCATGAACCCGCAGTACGACGCCGCCGTGGACTTCGGCAGCACGCACATCGAGGCGTTGCCGTGGGAGAAGGTCTTAGGCCGGCCAGTCGACGCGGAGGCGATAGCTTTGTTGGGCCAGTTGTTGAAATATGACCCCAGCGCCCGCGTTCTGCCATTGCACGCAATGGCGTCTTCCTTGTTCGATGAGCTGCGGCGCGCGCATATGTGGCAGCGCAATTCAGGTCTCCTCTCCCTGACCGAAGAGGAGCTAGCAGTCTGCCCGCCAGGTGTGCGGGAGCGCCTGCTCTCGCGCAGCGGCATCGGCGGCTTATAGACGGGAGCCCCATCCGTGAGTTGCGGTCACCGCGCAGCTTGCCCTCACACTACGCGCGCAGATCCTGATCGTGGATCGCATACGTGGGTACTGCGAATGCGCGTTGCGTGGCCGCAGAAAAATTGAAAGTCACCTCTTCATCTGCATGTTGGCGTGAAGGAGCCAGCCGCTGCGATTGGCAGTGATGTTTCGATCCAGCTGCCTGCAACAAGCTTCGCCATCGCGCCAGCGCAGCAGCGCAGCAGGAAGGAGTTTGAGTTTGATGCCCACTCCAGTTCAGTGCCATGTCTGAGCTCGCTCGGATCGTGAGCACCCTCCTGATTTCGCGGCCTCGTTCTCCCACATTTCCTTGGTATTGGATGTTTCTCCGAGGCCTCTTGGGAGTATCTGGTGGGGCCCGTCGAAGTTCTCGCGGCCGTATTGAGCGCGATGGTTATATCGAGCTCTCCCGAACAGGCTTGGTTGTCGTGTTGCGTTTGATGACTTTCGCGGTCCTGCTGGACCTCTCAGGCCAGCCCTAGGGCATCTGGAGCTGTGGCAGTCTTTGGATGGTGGTCTAGGAGCGCCTTGCAGCCGCGGTTGGGGGCGGGCAGTGTTCGGACTGGATCTATTTAAAGGTTGAGAAAGGCGCCGTCGAGCAAAACCACGTGGGCGGCCCCGAATTGCAGAAACACTACTATACAATTGTCAAGCATTCTGACACTCCAGGGCCGCGCAAGCGCGGTGGCGGGCAAGCACTCTTTCGTGCTGACTGCATTGAGGCAAGCGCACGCGAGCAGGAGGCACAACCATGCAGGGGTGTCGCACTGTCCATTAGTGCGAAGTGCAGGCATGCCGTTATATTATGTTTGCAGGCCGCCTTTGAAGAGGCGGGCGTTGCAACAGGTAGGGACGATGCACACTGCATCTTATTTGCAGGCTGCTGTAAAAACGACGTGCAGTAGCACCACGCACAGTAGTGGATGGTCGCACCGAGGCTTCCAAAGGTGCCCCGTGCTGCCACCCCGCTCCTCCCTGCCGATACCCCTCCCTATAGCGGCCTCAGCGGCGGGCATTCCCAGCAGGCATGTTCGGTGTTTTTGAGCAGGGACCGACCGTCCTGGCATTCCTATAGGCCTACCACGACATGCTCTTAGAACCCAGCAATGCTCTTAGAACAAGAACAACGGTTCTTAGAACAGAAGCCGGATGTATTAAAACCGCACAGCAAACGCCAGAAATGTTCTAAGAGTATGCCGTGCAAACCACACAAGGTTCTTAGAACGTTCTGGGGTGGTCTTATAAGCATATCAGGACGCTTCGTCACTGCTTGATGTTTAGCTTGGTTTCAGGGTTGGAAGGCCGCCGTGGAAGTGGACGGCGCAACAGGCTGCTTCCCTGCGACAAACCAGCCTCGGCTGTGTTCGTTTTCAGCCCGCTCCTGGACGGATGCGGGTTGTCGCAGCAGTCCGTTCGATATGTAGGCTTTTATGTGTACACCGGTGTGGAAGAGGCGGGCTGCATCTGGAAGTGGCATCGCGTGCTTCGACCATGGGCAGTGTATTTGCCAGCCACGTTGAGGGAACAGCATCATCGCGCTTGGTGGGGAAAGTTCCGATTGCTGTCCAACCCCACAGGCCGCGTCCGACCCCGGCGATTGCCTTGGCAGCCCTGGACCTCGTCGCGCACGATCGGCGTGGCGTTGTGTTGACGCTTATGGCGGCCAACATTGCTCGACCTCCCTGCACGCCCCAGCCGCTCTGGCGGCGGCTCCACCACTTCGAGCCCCGAGCGACCACACACCCCTGATTTGGCGCGTCGTCAGCCTCTCTTCGGCATGGCGCCCGCGGGACAGCCCAGCGTTGCTGGGCGCAGAGGAAGGGAGGGAGGGGAACGGGGGTGGGGGCGCTTTCTGGCCATCTCCACGCGCACACATACACACACTGCTAGGCACCCGCTGACGAAAAAGTGAGCGACGTTTGATCGCGCAAGCGTTCGGACACTAACTCTTTTGCACCGCCACGACCGCCACGACCACCACCGCGGCAGCGACCACGACGACCACCACGACAACTACCATGACGACCACAGCCGCGACCATGACCACGACGACCACGACGACCACAACGACCACGACAACGATCACGACCACCATCCGCGACCACGAAGGGTGACCGCGACTTCGACGTCGGCGGCGATGACGACGACGACGACGACGACGACGACGACGGGCGCCCAGGCCCCCTTCGTCTTTGCCAGCTCGCCTCGGCCCCGCCGCCTCGCCGCCGCGCCCGTGGGCCGCCAGGCGCGCCCGTCGCCGCCCGCCCGCCCGCCCGGGAGGAGGGGAGGAGGAGGAAGAGGAGGAGAAGGAGGAGAAGGAGGACGAGGACGAGGAGGAAGAGGAGGACGAGGAGGAAGAGGAGGAGGAGGAGAGGGGAGGGGGAGGAGGGTTAGGAAGAGGTGGAGGAGGAGGAAAAGGAGGAGGAGGAGGAGGAGGGGGAGGAGGAGGACGAGGAGTGTGATATGGATCGGCGCGCAGCGCCGGGGATGCTTTTGCTGTGAGCGCGGCTCGAACAACTGGCGTAGTTCTAAGGCCAAGGGCCCTGTTTGAGAGATAGCGGTTGCGGGCAGAGCGGGCATTAGAGAGCGGAAGCGAGGCGGAAGAGGGCGAGTCTTCTGGAATCACACTCCTCCTGCACGGTGCTCAAGCGGCGCCGGGCGGGCGCACGAGGCGCCACAGAGCAGCCGGGCATATAATAAGCTTGGCTCTTCATTAAGCGGAGTGCCAGGCGTGCTGGCAGAAGACGAGCAAACGGCTCGACACGGCTTGCATTGCAGGCAGCCCTTGGGCCACTTAAACGGATGCGCTACACGCGACCTGCAGGATATTATCAGCTCTCAGTGCCGCTGGCGCTATAATCAAAACCAGGCAACGCTAGCAATAGCAGGAGTTCGATCGCGAAGCGACAAAACCCAAAACAAACTTATCTTACCGAGATAAATCTGAATAGGTGCGATCGTCATCACATCTTTGAAACAAAATTTGTGCACACTGAATGAAGATTCCCTAAATGCGGATTTACGTGTAAATATTTAGCCGGGTGCGAAAACTGAGCAGCAATGCGGACTTACGTATAAATCTTTGGCCCGGTGTGAAAACTGAGCAGCAAAGCGGACTTACTAAGTGGGGTCGCAAGAGGCGACCGTCTAGCAACAGCAGCAGACTATAAGCTGGTTCGACTGGCCAACCTGCCGTCCGGACACCGAGCGGGATTCATTTGTCCTTCTTGGGTTTCGTCACTTTGTCCATCAGGTCAGGTCCGCGCCAGCAGTCTCTGCCGGTGAACTTCCTCCAATGGCCCATGAGATTATTCATCACGCCTTCGGGGAAGTTCGTGAAGTCGGGATTGCTGTTCGTGTAGAACCGGAGAAGCCATGACGAGTGTTTCTTGCAGGTCTTGCAGGTAATGTAGACGCTATGGGGGTTATGTCCGATTCTGAAATCATGGCGGGGGACGGCGGTCACACAATTGAGCATTTCGTTCGACGATACCGTCGGTGAGGAACCGTTCCACGAAACAACATTCGCAGATACTGAACTCGATGAACTCGATACGGTGACTACGCTTGGTGAGGTAGGGGCTGAACCCGAACTGTGAGATCTCGCTGACCTAGATCGCGATGATGTTGCGGTTGGTGGTGCGCTGGCAGCCGTTGGTTCTGGCGGCAGCAGTGGCGGCGGTGGTGCTGATATCGGCGGTTGCGATGGGTGGTGTCCGCAAGAGACGCCTGAAGCCGATGATGCTGAACTCGATGCCTGCGCACTGCTGTGTCCATCCGAGGGGTACATCGTAATGTCGCCGTCGTGGTCACGATCCTCGGGGATGGCAGCTGGAATGTTACGGCGCCGGCCAATCACGCGGCCGTCCCAGCCGGGATGCTCGCCCATCGCCTTCGCCTCGGCGACGCACTCCTCGGTAGCGATCATGTTGTTCTGCCTCATGATCGTCCAGAGCGTCATGAAGATGCCGAAACCTATAGTCATGCCGAGGACCAGCGTGCACGTCAGCAGGCAGATGTAGAAGCTGTAGTCCGGCACCGTCGGCGTAGGCGTAGGCTGTCCCTTGACCTTGCCGAGGCAGGTAAACAGGACTGAGGCGAGCATGGCGGCATGCGGCTGCCGGATCCCGTAACTGTGCTTGCGGGCCCCGAAGCAGGGCGCCGGCTTCCATCGCCTTGGTCAAGGCGTCCGCGACCATGGCCCAGGTCGGAATCCAGCTGAGCTTGAGTGCACTGTTAGGGCGCACGGCCTCCTTAATCATGGAGGCGACGATGCGGAATCGCTTGTCGGTAGACTGGCCCACATCAGAAGCGATGTGCGTCACGAGACCTTTGCTGTCGCTGTAGATCACCCCAGGGCGCTTGTCGGCGAGGACGTCGATATGCTTGAGCGCCGCGCCGCCATGGGGTTGTAGGCCTCGGTCAGCAGCTGGCGGAACCGGACGTTGGTCTCCGATCCCTCGAGGGTCGCGCAGTCCTCGGCAGCGTGGGTCGACTTCACCGACCTCTTGACCGTGCCCAAGGTTCCAGGCCACGGGTAGGCAAACGTCGTAGCGGCCGCCGACGACATCGCGCCGGCGGCGAGTGAGCCCCATCACGCGTCGCTGAAGCACACGGTGGTGGCCGCCATCAGATCGACGAGCCTGCGCTTCAGCACGATCGCGAAGTTCGATGTCGAGTGCACGTAGGCGACGGTCTTGTTCAGGGTCTTCGCGTCGGCCACGGTGGCGACGTTGGAACGGCGGGCTGCAAAGCTTGCCAGGCAGGCGATGTCCACCCGGGTCTAGACTGCCAGCCATAGCAGCTGCCCGAGCGTGTGGCGGTAGCTCGTCACCACGGTGGCGGTGAGCCGATCCTCGGCATTGCGGCCCTCCGGGGCCTTCAGGTCGATGTAGTCCACCTGCGAGGCGGCGGTGGCCTGGGTCACTCGAAACTCGTTATCAAGCTTGGTGATTGTACGTTCAGAGTACTTGATGACCCCGTCGATCTGCTTGAGGTGTAGCTTCTTCCCCAGCGATGCAATAGTGGGCTTCCAATTGGTGGAGTTGTTACGCTGGGCGATCAGGAAGTCGCCCACGCGGGAGTGGATAACCGCGGCGAGCCCGCCTTCGCCGTAGAAGTAGTAAAGGCCCTTCTCGGGCTTGTTCTCCACGAGGCCGTGTTCGTCGAAGACCTTCTGGGCGTAGAGGTGCCACTGCTTCCCGGCGTCGCGCGCCGCGTGGCCATCACGACCTCGCCAGGCCATCACGATCGCGCCCGTGGCCACCCCGCCTCCCGATCGCGCCCGCGGCCATCGCGATCTCACCAGGCTGCGCCCCCGGCGGCGGGTTCTTGGCCGGCATGCGCAGGGGCAGTAGCTTCTCACTGTTCCCCGACTGCAGGTAGGCCGCCATCGCGTCGCAGGACGAGATGACCCTGTTCTTCTGGGCCGCGGCGGCCAGGGCAAGGCACAGCGCGACCCAGTGACCCCGCAGGCGCGCCTGCCCGCCCTGACCTGCGACTTGTCATCCCGGCAGCCCTGCACGACCAGACTGGCCTCCATAACTCTCTGGCCCTTGCTGGTCAGCACCCAGCGTGCGCCCACGGGGCGGATGCCAGGGTTGCGCCGCAGGAGCTCCTTCAGCTCCCTGGGCGGGAGCTTCTTGTAGGCGCCGAACTCCGTCCGCTGGGGCCACTCTGTCTTCATGGCGGCGTCCATGTTCTTCTTCTCGGAAGCGCCCTGGGCATCGCACTCGAGTTCCTTGGCGGTCGCGTTGCCCGTGAGCAGTGCCTCACGGAGTCGTGTACTTGCGTAGAGTTCGTCCGCGCGTTTCTGGAAGTAGTTGCCCAGGTACAGGTCGACCTTGTTCGTGTCCTTCGGCCTCTTGAAGCACTTGGACAAATCGTCCAGAAGCTCCTTGCGCTTGGCTGCGCGCCCGCGCGGGTCGAGCTCGCGGTCGCGTCGAAGAGCATGCGGTACGGATTATTGGTGAACCTGTCGCTGCGCCTTCGTGCCGCGCTGGTTCTTGGTGTCCACGACCTCTCCTGTCGAGACTGCTCCTGTCGAGACTGCTCCTCCGCGGCCCCTTGCCATTCCCGAAGCATGTCCGATCCGGAGCTGTCGGACTTCCCGTCGCCCTCGGCGTCGCCAACCGGGCCCTGAGGCGCGGGTTCAGGATTTTGATGAAAATCTGCGGCGGCAGGGGCAGCAGGATGATCAGCGGCGGCAGGAGCGGCAGCAGCGCCTGAGCCCATGGCGGGCGCCGCAGGGGGCGGCGCCGCCGGCGGTGGCGGTGGCAGCGGCTGCACCACGTCTCCTCCCGAAGGCGGTGGGGCTGCTCCTCCACTGCCGCTAGCTCCTCCACTGGTTGTGAAATCACCGTCTCCTTGTTTGCGTGCCAGCCATTCGGCGCACTGATGGACGCGCTGGTCCGCTGCGGAGTTCTCGACGTCGCCGAAGTCGCGCGCCTGGACGGCCGGCTACTGAACTGGCGCCGGCAGCGCCGGCTGTGGAGGCCGCCCTTCGCTACGAGGGTGCTTCTGAGGCGTAGGGCCCGAGAGGTCGAGGAAGGCGCCCTCGTCATCTCGCGGCGGTACGGGGCCATCACGTCCTCCACCTTGGCCAGGCGGCGGGGGCCCACCGCCTGCGCCACCGCCGCCTCCTCCAGGATCTGGAGGAGGTGCGGACCCCAAGGTCCCTGGCGGGGCGCCTGGTAGTGGCCCGGGCGGCTGGCTGCCCGTTCAGCGCGGTCAGCACTTGCCCCCACGGCGCGAGATCCGACGCCGCGGCGCGGCGCAGGTGTCCACGGACGACCTTCGCGGTCGCGGAGCGGTGGCTGACCCAAACGTTCGAGGCGCCCGCGAACCCGATGTCGACGCCGGGCCCGTGCCACTGTAAAGCCCATTCTCGCATTGGCGTGCCGCTGCCCCTCCAGCGGTACACCTGGTCGCCAGTCTGGCATACGTCGCCGGCGTGCTGAGCTCCATCTGCCCGAGACCGGGCCAGCAGCGCCCTCGAGAGGGACTGATTGAACCTCAGCTGCTGCGTGGAGATCTGCGCGGCCTTCACGATGGCGATCCTCTCTGAGAACAGCTTGTCGGACTCGATGCGCTCGCGCAGGGAAAGCCTGCCCGCGTTGTCCAGCAAGCAGTAGGGAAGCCGAAGGCCTCGCCCTAGCACCCACTGCGACGTCGAGTAGCCCGCGGAGTTGACCTGGCTGTTCATGGCACAGCACACGGAAGCGATCAGCCACTGGACTTTGTGGG